TTCCCGGCGCGGCTCAGTCACAGCACAGCAGCCGCAGGCCAGGGCAGTCCCCGAGAGCCGCGCTCGCCGGCTCTTGAGTGCGCTCACAGAAGAGCTCCTTCAGTCTCTAGACCATGAACATGGTCCCTTCCGTCCCGTAAGTTCTTGCCCAAAGTGTCTCCTCGTTTGCCTTCGAAGCCTCCCCGAGGTCTCGGGCTCACCTGCGCTGGCTCCTGCGGAGTGCGCGGGTTCTGAAGGGCTCTGGAAGCGCGCAGCCCCCGGCGCGTGGATGCAATTATTGCGACGCGTGTCTCCTCTCCGCACCCAATGCAAATTGTGTGTTGCCCGGATGCGTGATTTACTGCTGCCTTCGCACTTCGTTTTCTCATTATTCTCTTCTTTTGTTAAGCAGACCCACACTGCTTCACGTAGTCACCCAGTCCTCTTTCCCTGAGCAAAGTAGCCGACGGCTCCCAGCAGCCCGCTGTGGAAACATGTAGAGGTAGTGCTTTGCAAAAGTGGCGCCTGAGAAACTACACGAGCACACAAGTGTTTAGGAATATTTTTGGAAACACCACCGATCACTTTCTCTAATAATGTTAGAAGTTGGCGTTATAGAACTTATTAAATTTACTTTAGTGCTTTGATTATTGAAATCCAAAAGCTGAAGAAAAGAATTCCACGTGTTCTCTTTCCCCGGAGTTACTCCTCTGTCTTCTGCCTCTCGGCTGCTCATCCGATTGGGCTGTTTGTGTTGAGCACTGTTTAGTCTGTCTCTAATTCATATCCGCTTTTCAGTTTTTTATGTCAAGTACATCTATACAGAAACATAACTGATGAATATATTATGAAATATTTGCTCTTTTAGTATGATAGCCATGTGTACAGGACAATAGATTCTGCATTAAAGCTGGAAAAAATAAAAATAAGTTATTTCTGAATTATATTAATTTTATAATTTTTATTTAGATGTTTTGGCTGTATGCAGACATACCATAACCTTCATAAATCTTATAATTATTTTAATCTGAAACACTAAGCAAACACATGATGAAAGACTAAATAACTTGTAATTTTTTAATACTGCTACCAATCAAGAAAATTATTTTTGAGTATTTCTTTGTGGTTGGTGAAGTGATACAGCAATAAAAACTTTTAAAACGGTACCATTTATCTCTCACTTGTATGACTTGTGACTACCTTTTCAGCAAGCAATGAAATCAATCTTTATTCAGTTCAGATCAACCCAGGGGTGTAGAACTCTTGCAAACAAGCTGATGTTCTAGTTCTTGGGTTTGAAAGATTTACTGTCCAGTAAGTAAGTGATTATTCATTGCTAGTATCTTACTACCGTATGGGAACACATGGAGGTCAGAGAGGTCTTCTGGACTGCACGACTGAGCTAAAGCGTGTTAACGCAGGATGCAGTTGAGCCTGGAATGTGTGGGGCAGGTGGGAGTGGAAGCGAGGGCAGTAGGGGAATTATTTAAACTAGAGCGACACCTGCGATAAGGGCATTCTATGCAGCTCAGCGGCACAAGCGCCCGCCTGGCAAGCCCAAGTTCCTGAGTTTGATTCCTGGTACAAAATAGAGAAAGAGAGATAAGGGCATTCTGAATGTGACAGGTAGTGCTGGAGTAGTCCAGATCTTGTACATGAAAAGGGATGTGTATAAGGCAATTTACATATATTATTTTAGCATTTACGACTATATACCCTTGTGTGTACAGTGTCCCAAGAGGGGATTTAAACTTAACTAAACATTTAATTTCGCAAATCTACTTAGAGAATTCTAGGGCGGAGGCCACGCTTTCTTCTCTTAGCGGGACAACGTGCAGCATTTCCCACAGCAGTTCTTACAGCCTTCTGGAGCTGGATTCTCCACAGATGGCAGCCCGGTGTAGAGTTATGACATCCACATCAGCAGATGCAAAAATCACTCCAGCTTAATAGCCTTCTCCTCACAGGAGATGATACCACTGGTAACAACTCCGTAGGCGTAGCTCTCGGGAGCCTAATGGAATGTGCAAAATCGTTTCTGCACTGAGAGAAGTGCCCCAGATTTGGCACCCTACCCGCTATTCACATGCCGTTTTTCAGATGAGATGCAGTTCCTCCATCAGAGGTCATTTTTACCATAAACCATATTGCCTAGCAACAATGTTAACGATTTTATCTTTATTTAGCTGTCCAGGGATCAGAGTTCATTATCTCAAGGTCAAATTTGTTAAGCAGAAGGAGAAAACACATTTGTAAGCAGTTTTAATGCACAAGTCAGGATCGTCTAAAGAAGAATCTGATTCCGCAGACCGGTCTGGCGGCTTGCCCAAGTGTTCACAGCTAGTGAGTGGGGGAGAGAAGCCATACTTAGGTCTACCTAAGCTTAACATGTCTGGCTTTCCACTGTACTACATCAAGAAGGGTATTTTTGGTTGATTGCTTTAGTCTTTCCTGCAGTGCAAAATACGTATGCATTTTAAGGAAAAGCAGTATTTACCAATATTCTGAAATCCTTTTTGTCGGTACATGTTTGCAGGACATAATGGTTATATTCTTGTGGGCGCTGGTATGTGGACAGAACATTTTAAATGTTCTCATCCCTTCTTCTCCCTCCTCCTCCCTCCATCTCTTGTTCTTCCCTTTTGCAAAAACTCTACCTCCATATTTTCTATCATCTGTGTTTTATTTTGCTTTTTTATATTTTGAGTTTCTCATATAGAAACTATATGATATGTAATCTTGTGTGTCTGATTTATTTCACTTAACATAATGGTCTCAAGGTGCATCCATTTTCCTACAGCTGACTCCAATTCACCCTTCTTATGGAAGAGTAGTCCTCCATTGTGTGTAAATGCCCCACTTTCCTTGTCCTCTACTGATGGACACATAGATCACTTCCAAAATTTAGGTATTATGAGTTGTGCTGCTATAACGTGGGTATGAATGTATCACTGTTAAATGGTATCTTTCGCTCTTTTGGAAAGAAACCTAGAAGGGAAATGGCTGAGTTGAATGGATTTTTCTATTTTTAGTTTCTTGAGGAATCATTATTCTAATTTCCTTGGTGGGTGTAATAGTTTACATTCCCACCAAAAATGTAGATAGGCTCCTTTTACTCCACAGCCATACATTATCATTTTCTGTGGTATTGGCAAAACTTATTCAGTATGATCCTTGAAAATAGTTTCACCAGGCACAGTGGTGCACGCTATAGCACCAGCACTCGGGAAGCTGAGGCAGGAGGGTTGCCTCTAGGTTGACCCCAGGGGAGGTGACATAGTGAGTTCACGGCCAGGCTGAACTACATGGTGAGACCCTGTGTGAAATAACCAAAGAAAGAAAAGGAATCTCAAAGTATTTTTTTAATTATAATTTGAGATAACAGAAAATAGATCAAAGCATCCAGGGACTGTGACTTGTGATCGGGTCAGATAAAGTACTGCCGGTGCATGCTGGGATAGCTCAAAGGGCGATACCGTGCTAGATATATGTAAATATCATACATTTTAAAGGCTCTAATAGATGCATGTGATGGTAAGCTACTTTAAAATATATATATTATATATACATATATAATATATATACACACACACACATATATGTAATTTGTATATTAATGACCTCAGGTAGGTAACAGAAATTGTTGATTTTAACTAGCATGTTTCAGAAAAAATATAATTTATTTTTAATATCTTTTTTGTTTTTCCAAGCTGGTTAGTTATTGAATTTCTGGTATCATAAGAATAGCTCAAACATGTTCTTATTTATCTGCTGTAATTTCTAAAAAAGAACTTCACTTTTTAGTATAAATGGCTTGATTCCATATATTAAAAAACACCCACAGCAACCTCAGTCTTGAAATATCCTTACTTCTAATAGCTTTGCTCTTTTAACTTCCTGCTTGTTGTTTACTAGGCATCCTCTGCCACAGCCTGCTCTCCAGTTCTTCTTGTCTCAGAGCCGCGCAGCCCAAGGTGTTTTCAGTCTTAGTCTAAACAATTACAGTTGTGCATGTAGTGTTCCTTTATCATTTCTATCAAATAGCCCAAGCATTCCTCTTCTAGCAGTTTTCAGTGTACTATCAAGCGCCAAACTAGAAAATAAGAAGAAAAGAAAAGATTTTTGTCTACCTTTAAATTTGGTAATTTGCAAGAAAAATTGTCTGGGGTTCTGCTTTTAAGATATGCTACCAAATCACCTCACATATGTTAAAATGCTTCTCTTCCATTTGGGAGTTTTTCCTATTGTGTGGCTGAAGGCGTTTCCCAGGAAACTGAAGAGGATGGTATAAAATGAGTACATCGGTCTAAAATGCACATCTGGGAAGTCCAAAAATGTTATTTCCAATGTAAATGGGGATTCCAAAGAACATATATGTAATAATTAGCATAATATAATTATTGAAATTATGAAGAAAATATTATTAAAATGTAGAATTTAGAAATACATTAGCATCATACTTGTGTTTTTTCTTCTATATCTTAAGATGTATATGAAGATCAAAGTATGGCAAGGATATTATAGAGTAAAAGAAACTGTTACTATAATAATCACTCTTCTACAATGAAATTCTGAGATACTATGGTTTGTTTAGTATTTTGAAATGGGAACATTTCTAGCAGTTTTGTTCATTTAGGTCGCAGCTGTGACATCTATTTGCATGTTTACCAAATGGTTACTGAATAACACATGGGTAAGAAAACTAAGCTTTTGCAAAAGCTTATTAATAATTGTAGCCCTAAGCTGAACTCAGATGGGCTTGTGCAAAGGAGCCTTAGTCCTTGGCAGGCCGTGAGAAATGTTGGCCAGTCTCTTCAGTCGTCCGCATATGAAGGTGTGTTGGACAATGGTGCCATGACGGTCAATATGAATTCATACACCCGTGTGCAGCTTTTTAACACATAGCACAGTTGCAATATATAAAAAATCATAGAGGATTTTCTTAAAAGCAGATTTGTTCTGATTTGCTAGTACAGTTAAAGGTGAAGTAGGCTGCGCTGATTATTGGCTCTCTCTTGCAGAGACTCACCTTGAGACATGTAAACAGTAACCAGTGTCTTGATGAACCCTCTGAAGACGACAAAATGGTACCCACCATGCAGGACTGTAGTGGAAGCAGATCCCAGCAGTGGCTGCTAAGGAACATGACCTTGGGGGCATGAAGACCGTGTGCCCCAACCCATGAGCGTGTCTACACTTTTATTTTTCCATTATTTCCATTAGGGGAAAATATTAACTTTGCTGAATGGAAAGTTTTAAAATTCTTTTTAGTATTCTAAAACACAGTTGTTTATAATTCATTTTTAGAAATGTTTGATTATTTCCCTACTAAAATTTGTATCTGATTCAAGAAGCACATTTAAAAAAAACATGAATAATAGCAAACTGTTACTAAACATTGGAACAACTTGAGAGTCAAATTGTTTTGCTTTAAACAGTCTTTACTGCCCTCTTGCAGGGTTAGTTGGCGGGGAGTCATTTTATGTTGGGTTGTCACAGTGATTGAAAAGAAATGATGTAAATGCCTTATGAAATGCCTTCATTATGAAATAGCAATTGCTTTACAAACTCACTCTACTGGAACTTCTTGGAAACATCGAATTTCTGTGTCAACAACAGGACTATACCTTGAATTATGAGCATTGAACTCATTGTACAAAAGGTTAGTTTCCAAATTTTGTACCAGGGAAAAAAAATTGGATAGTGAGTTCATAGAAATCTTGCAAAGCATCATGATTAAACAAAGAAAGAAAAGAATTCAAAAATTCCATTTAGATAAGAAACTTACATTCTAGTGAAATAGGAAGAAATTACACAGATATGGAAGGTAACGGCATGAAGTTAAACCAAAACAAGTGTTGTAAAAGCCGGGTAGCTGTGTGACAGTCATTCTTGAGACAAGCTGAAAACAACCCTGCCCCCAGAGCCGATGTCACAAACTCAGCTTTGTCTTGTTTCCGTGAACCGTGCCGTCCTTGTCTCCTTACTCCACACTGTGGTTTGTTACCAACACTGTATAGAACGTAGGTAAGGGTACAGTTTTAGCCTTATGTTCAACTCTTTCACCTTGAGAGATTGTAGTTAATTCATTTCTGTCACTTTTATTTTGTATTAAGAAATATATTGTAATCAGATTATCATTGCTACGCTATAATGTCATTGTATAATTTTATCACTGGGAGAGTAAACTCAAACAGTCATTAAACATGTATTCTAATTAAGCTTTTAAATATCATTTGCCATAAATTATGGCCCAAAGAATACAGTCATAATTAGGCTAGTTTTACAAGTTCTTTCCACCTGAAAACTCTTTGTGTTCAAAACACATGAGAAGTTGTTATGAAAATGAAAAAAAATGTACAAATGAGTTTTTCACTAGTAAGTTTCTGTATCTGATACCATATTAAGTGCCCATAAAATGGGTCTACCTATGAGTTTTCATTATAAATGTACACAACAGCCAGAGAAATTGGCAGTGTGAGGCAGAAGATGGAAAATGTGTCTTCTGGAGCAGAAAATTCCATTTATTGCCTCATTTTTACCTATAAAGCTTTTATGTAGAGAATATATCAACGTATCAGTCAGCTTGGTTACACACTCCTCTGTCCTTTCTGTCTCTCTCTGTCTCTCTGTCTCTCTCTCTGTCTCTCTCTCTCTCACACACACCCCTTTATGGTGAAAAGGACACTTTCCAAAGAGCAATGAAATCTAGGTTTTTCTCAGCTAGCTAGCACCCCATTCTCTTTAGATTTATATTGGTGCAACTCTAAAAAAGAATTCAACAACCTGGAGCATTTCAGGTTTAGTCCTGAAAAGGTAGACATGCCCCACTCCAAGGTCTCACAATTCTTAAATCTCCTAAATTTATAAGTAAAAGTTTAAATTTCAGAGCTTTTACTTTTCTGAGGATAGACCCTAGCGTTCACAGCACTTTTAGAATGGAAGGTGAGATTCCCATGAGGTACTGACCCCAACATTTAATTGATTGTGCCCTATCGGGTCAGCTAAGACTTTATAACAAGCCTATTTTCCTTTTTCTACTCTGTTTCTCCTCCATTTTCTTCTCATTTTAACTAAAAAAAGGTAAAATATTTGTGTGCACATGAAAAGCTTAACCTGTAGGATTCTTTTAAATAATAGGTCCTGTTTATTTTTTGTCAATTGAAATGTATATGTTACCTAGAACATGGTGAATGACAAATTTTTAAAAATATAGCTACTTCATGGAAACTGAATTGGGTGCATTTTAGCAGAGTTTTAAATAATTGAGAGTGTCTTTGTGGTCATTGTGAAAATACAGAAAAACCTAACACTGCATGAGTTTCATGCTAGGAAGAATTTTCAGAGATGCTTCAGCTGTTTACATACATGCCATCATAGGTCTAAGAGATTTTAAAAATGATATAAAATGTTGTAACACACAAACCCTGAAAGCAATGATTAACACTGTAATTTTTTTCCAAGAATGCTTGCAGTACAGAGAATTAAAAGCATGGTGAAGTTTATAGTGCATTCATCTTACACACCACTTGTCATGGGACTGGATGGAGAAGTGTTTCAAAGCCTCCTCTTCTGTGGCCTTTCTCATTTGAGCTGAAGCAAGCTCAGCCTTCCAGAAACTCAAGTGAAGTGAATATCTGTAGTCACTTTTGGCCTCTCTCTCAATTCACCATAAAATTCCCCTCGTGCTTCCTTCAAATATAACCACAAGCCAGTGCTCTGCCACCACCCCCACAATGTCATTACCTCTTTATTTTTTAAAATTTATCTTAAAAATAAAAGAAGGAAAACATTAACAGACATCCATTTACAAAATAGCGAAAGAACAATACAAGCAATACAGAATTACAGACAAAGGGGTATGAAATCAGCAATGGTTGCTGTATTACACATTGATAGCTTCAAAGTGGTTTCTCAGGAAAACAAATAGAGACATGCAAGGCTGATCAAATGAGTAATCATTAACTGTTCCTTTCAGTAAAGCGATAGAGGTCAGTAGTACAACTACGTTAACTATCCTGTATATACATACATACATAATTTTCCCTTCTTTCTTTTCTCTTTTCCCTCATCCCAGTTGCTGTTTATTTTTGAGCATTTTCCTTCCATTTCACAATGTCTGTCATACCTCCTAATTTTTATTCACTCTTTCAGGTTCTTCCACTAGTAAGACAATATGTTGCTTACACATGGAGGTCTGATTTATTTCACTTATGAGTATAGTCTCTAGTTGTGACCATTTACCTGTAAAAGCCTTGAGTTTATCTTTCTTTATGGATGAGTAATATTCCATAATTTTTTTATCCATTCCTCAGTGAGTGGACATTTGGCTTCCTTCCACAATTTAACAATTACAAATTGCGCTGCTATGAACATGGGTGCACATATATCGCTGTGGTATGATATTTTCATTTCTTCTGGGAAAATACCCAGGGTAAGGGGGATACCTGGGTTGAATGGGACCTCTAGACCTAGTTTTCTGAGGAATCTCCAAACTGATTTCCACAGTGGTTTCACCAGTCTGCATTCCCACCAGCAGTGGGGAAGAGTTCCTATTTCTCCACAGCCTCGCCAGCATTTGTGATTGGTTGATTTCTTAATGCTAGCCATTCTTACTGAGGTGAGGTGAAATCTCAATGTTGCCAGCAGGGTAAAAAGAAACACCACAAATTGGGAAAAAATTTTGATCTGACTGTCCCTCGGACAAAGGGCTTCTATCTAGAACGTAGAAAGAATTAAAAAACATCAACCTGCCAGAATTCAAAGACCCAATCCAACAATGGGCAACTGAGATGTGTACACACTCCTCAGATAAAGAAATACAAAGGACAAATAAATCCATGAGAAAATGTTCAACATCATCAGTCATTCGAGAAATGCACATTAAAACCTCTTTATTTGCAAAATGTTTACAATTTGGTGAGCAGCTCTTGCTGGGCCTTAGCTCCTTTCTCATTGTAATAGCCGTACTCATTCTAATAGTTATGAGCTTCACTGTGACATTTCCTACGCACACGGTCTTCCAGCGCCTTTTCATCTGCCTTCAGTGTTCCTGGAAGGCCTTCATGATGACCCACGCTCTCCCCCATCCATTCTACACACACACGCACACACGCACACACGCACACACACACACGCGCACATGCACACACGTGCGTGCACACACACACACACACACACGCAGCTCACTGCACGCCCCGTCTCTTCCCACTCCACACTTTACCTTGACTCCCAGCAAGCTTCTGCCCCGGTCTTTGGCGCCCTCTGGCCCACAGAGCTCTCTCGCTCCCTGTCTTCACTCTGATGCAAACCTCGTGTCAGCAGCAAGGCAAACCGTCGTCCCCTCGCTGTCCCTGTCTCCTGAGCGTCGGACAAACTGTAATTTTACTTCCTCATTTCACACGTCCTTCCACCTCCGTGAGCCCCACAAACCCACATACGCTCTAGGATACATGTCTTTTATTTTTATTTTTATTGTATTTTCTTTTGTTTTACAGTGCTGAGGGATGAAACCCAGGGCTTCAGGCATGCTGGCTAACTGTTCCACCACTGAGAAAGAATTAAATTTTCACTATCTTTCATGCTTAAATAAAATTAGTTAAACAGTGGTATAGCTCTACCTTTGAGCTGTACCCGCAGCCCTATAAATCCTTTCTCGGTCAGTTTTGCTCAAGGAGTGTGCTCAACATCTGGTAGTTTTGGGCATATATAAAATGTTCTTTAAATATTTCTTGAATTAATAAATTAAAAAGTGTTTATTAAAGTTGCTAAGTGGTACAGTATTGTATTTTTTTGGTATTTTAAATTTTAGAGTCCAGCAATGTATTTATACAGAATTTGCATAACTTGTCTCCAAATGATAATTTTGTTCCTAACATCCTTTATTTTAAAATATGAACTGTATGTTATTTTATATTGTAAAATGTCCTGCCTTATAGAGATGAAATATGACATTTTATGAAAATGCTGCCACCTTATATAAGTCGCTTCATTAAGCTAAAACTAATTTTAATTTTAATTTTCTGGTTGTGTTCAATGGACCACCTAAAGCTTTAAGATTTTAACTTTTAGAGGGAGATATATGTACATTCCCATAAAATCTGTATTTTCATGATTTCATACCTACTAAATTTATTTTCTAAGCAAGTCTATGAACAAAAGATAATTTAAAAAAACTATAAAAAGCTTCACAGATGATCCATGGTTAGTTTTTCTGTTTGTGTGTAATAAGCCCGAGACCCAGATACATAATGCGGTCTGCCCGAGGGCCATACAGCTATGGGAGGTATTGCCAGCATTCTTCATCCTTAATATAACCTAACGTTATTGCGTTAGGTTATATCAAAAGCGTAGAAAGGGCAAAGGAGTGAGAAAATTTTCTTTAAAGCTTTTGTTATTAGAACATTGATTATTTAGAAATATTTAAATTTTTACTATCTTTCATGCTTAAATAAAATTAGTTCTATAAACAATAAGACCTTCAGGAAAAAAATAAAGAGATTACCTGAAAAGAGCGTGATTATTGAACAGTGAAATAGCCTGGCATCATTCGGCCAGCTGACTTTTAGAGAAATAAAACAAGCCTCTTTAGTAACAACTTGTAGAAAAGTCTCTTCCGTTTACTTTAGCGTTATATTGAAGTTAAAAGGAAGATTGGCCTGCAGGCTGCACGGAGAATCAGACCATCTATTACTGTGAACACTGGCTATTTTCTCTGTTGTGCAGATTTAAAGACTGCAGGGTAATGAGCAGATATGTCTGAGCTTCCCAGCGTAGCTCTCTAATAAAAAAAAAACCCATAACTTGATTCTGCATTGGTGCTTAGAATTATCCTAATAAATAAAAAGAAAAAAATAAGGGAGAGGAAAATAAGCTCCAACAATAAAATAATAGGATCTTTTATTTTTAATTTGATGGGAGTTGGGAGCATAGTCTGAATTGCTTTAGTAAGCCTCATAATATCTTCCCATATCCACGTTTCATATCCTTTGTGAAATAATAATCATATACAATCACCATCCTCACATGTGCGTTTCATCTACAGATGCTAACTCCGGTGTCAGAGGAGCAAAATTCGTGTGCATTATTAAGTTAAAAAGTATGACGATTTCACAAATATGAAAATTTGAGAAATTCAAGGTCCTGATGGGTATGTCACCGCCCACACATGGGCCTGTGCCAACGGGTAGCTCCAGGTCTTGAATAAATTTCCGGCTATGTTGGGCAGCACACACTCGATTGTTTTAAGGCTGCTTGTGTTTCGGAATTCAGCCCCCTCCCACCCTTTCCCCAGACATATTAAAACGTGGAAGAGAAAAGACTGGCCACGCTGCCGTAAAGTACAGGATGTGTCTGGTTTGAGTCCACCATGTCCAAACTGCCAGTAAATGTAAGCTGCTGTATGAATTTGAGGTGTTGAGTGAGCACCAGCAATGTGTTTAAATATTTGTGTAAATTTGTGCCCCATTTTTATTTTACATTGTTCAATAAATTCTAAAGGAAATTTCCATCGTACGTGCTTTGAAAACCCTTCGGAAATGGTAGTGCTGCGGGGCAGTATTCTGTTAACTATCTTTTAAAACAAAGGCCGTTTCTGTGTCATCAGTACATAAAGTTATAATTGTCTTTTTATTTTAGGTCTGTTTCTAATGACTTACCAAGTGGGAAATTAGATGATTAAGGCTATAGCGTTATCTATTTTTAAAAATTAAATTTTCATCATGCATTCAGTTGGCGTAAAAAGGAATATAAGCTGCTGCTTGATTCTGCTCATACTTTCAGTTGAGAAATAGCACAGGAGAAAAAAAACTGACGAGCAAAACTTTTCTTGGGGGGAAGCTTTGTGTTATGTAGTCTCAGCTAGAGAGAAATCATTTCAAAAATGTTTCAACTATTTGCTTGACACACAATTCCTTACCATTTAGAAAAGTAGGTTGTGCATAAAAAATTAAATGTTTTAAGTAATGTAAGCATTACTAAAGGTATAATTGTCCTTTTGCTGTAAATTTAAATATTTATACATTTTTGTAGAATTAAAATATGCCAATTTAGTTTTTCTTTGTATATTTTGTCTTTTTAAAAAAATTTAAGACTTTAAATAGATAAATAGCTTCAGTATATGTTGTGGATTATTTAAATAATTAAGTGCCTATGAATTTCTCCTAGGAGCAAGGGAATCTTATGGTCCTCTTACAGTTTACCAAAACAATGAAAATAGAAATATTAATATATTTGT